ATAATAAAACCACACTTCTAGAAAACCGGTATTTGTATGACCTAAAATTTTTCACAAGCACTCCATCTCAACAATCAATCTCAAAAAAAAAAAAATTGAGGGAAAATATCCCTCTAGATCCTATTTTTAAGTTTCATTTCTCCATATACCCAAGGTTTCAAAGCCTATCTGGCTGCATAAAAATTTTATCTATTATATCTTTTAACCCCCTAGATCAACTTTACCAATTTTTATCCTCTTTTTAACCCAAACAAATTTAAAAAAGACATCATTTTTAAAACCCCTCTTTCTCTCGTTACGTGTTTCTCCTTCTCTCTCTTCCGTGTCTTTCTCTATGTGTGCTTCCCCAAACACCCCTCTATTTTTTCCCATCATCTCTCTCTCTCTCTCTCTCTCTCTCTCCCCGTACTTCCCCCTCTCTCTCATTTGGGATGGAGAATGTTAAGAGAGTTAATAGTCAGAGAAAGAAAAAGAACAGGTATAATAATGACTTGGAGCTCAAGGGTTTCGAGGTGTAGCTTAATAAAGGGTATAGGATAAAGGTGCAATCAGCAAACGCTAGTTGGCTATGCTCTCTGTGAACACCTCCTCGGCAAAGGGAGAATGAAAAGCATAAATGGGTTAGTTTCAAGGAAGAGAGAATTTAGCAGAACCAGAGAAGGGGGAGAAAGCCCTTTGAATGACTCACGGTACATCTGCCCAAATTGGATTTCCGAGTGGCTTTATTTTTTTTAACAGTGTTGGATGAATGACACATCCATCAATGGATGTTTCTTGTCTTAATACTTGCTCATTCATATGTAAGAGATTTTTCTCCTTTCTAACTTATCAAAAGTTGGAATTTTTGTCTTTATTTTATCTGTAGACCTAATATGCAAGGGCTTTTTCCATGACTTATAATGTTGTTCTTATTGAATAAATGGTCTATATCTGTTCTGGAGTATTCAAGGTCACATCGCAATAGTTTGTATGCAAGCAGCTCTACAGGTTTTGGTAGCTTTTCTGTAAATTTTAGGAAGGATTTGGTAGGATTGGATTTGGGTGAGTTCCTGGTGGTGCTCCTTGTTCTTTCTATTTTTGTTTATTTAGAGAATAATCATTGTCTTGATAGGTTGTATGCCAAGTTGCCAACAGACAATCAGATTTCGTGGCCCATTAGCTTCTTGAATGAAATAAATTATCTTCATGGAAACAATGTCTAAAAACTATAAATAATGCCACTTCAAGAATACTTCAGGGGATGAAACAAATAAATTCACACACAAAGATGTTCAGTTGCATGTATGGTGGGTAAAAAACGTGAGAGAGGGATTGAGGAAGCACAGGGAGAGATAGAGAGGGAGAGAGGGGGGGGGGAAGCATGCGGAGAGAGAGGATGGGGAAAAACAGAAAGAGAGGGATTTGGGGAAGCACTGGGGAGAAAGGGAGTGAGAGACATGGAGAGAGAAAGAAGAGAAACATGTGGAGAGAGAGGGGTTTTAGAAAAGGATGTCTTTTTTAAATTTATTAGGGTAAAAAAGATGGGATAAAAATGGATAAAGTTGGTTTAGGGGTTTTAGAAAAGGATGTCTTTTTTAAATTTATTTGGGTAAAAAAGATGAGATAAAAATGGGGTAAAGTTGCTCTAGGGGGTTCGAAGATATAATACATAGAAGCTCTATGGGGCTAGATAGGTTTTGAAACCTTCGGTGTTTGGCCTATGGAGAAATGAAAGCTAAAAATAGGGTCTAGAGAGATATTTTCTCCTTCTTTTTATTTTTGAATATGGATATTTTCCCAAAATTTAACTTGCACCCTATGCATGGTCAAAATGAGTCCCCTTCAACAATAAATCTAAACCATCCATTTGGTGAATTTCAAGATCTAGGCCTTTATGAATTCAAAATCAAAATTTTCTCTTTTAACATTGTTAATCTAATGATAATATAGTTATCTAAAAAATTTGGTAAGAAAAAAGATCCTTCTAAGGCCTAGATTTGCGCATCTCACCAAAATAGACGGCCTATGTTAATTGGGCTAAAAAAATACTTTTACGTTGTATTTAAAAAATTTCCTTTTTTTTTATTGTTCATTAGAATGAAAAGAGTGTAAATTTTAAAATTTGGGTTAAACAAATGGCCCTAGCATGGTTTTTGAAGATTGTTTCATTATATTATTGTACAACCATTGCATGAAATCACCCCCTATATATATATATATATATA